GATATAGTATATATTTAACATATAAAAGGTAAATTGAGTCAAAATCTTTTCAAGCCACCTCAAAGGTCGGTAATGACTAGCACCTCTGGTGTGAGGGCTGTCCAAGCCCTTTTCAGGGCTGCTCATCCACCTTTGGTGTCCACCTGTCACCCAACACTCACTCCAAGAAGCTATAGCATCAGCAGTGGCCACACCCTAGTAAAACCATCTCAGTACATGGGTAACCAACAGGCCTAAAACCTTTTGGTGAGTTAGGGTGATGTCTACCCCAAATATGTGCAGACTTTCTCTGGTAGAATGGGCGGATGAGAACAATTTGTTTCAATGTCCATGAAGGTGGCTAAAGCAGGTACTGTGGAGCGCTTAGAGTTTGGTCAGACATGGAAGGCACCGAGGTCATCCACTACATCCTCCTCCACCATTGCCGGTCATCTTGACTTTTGTCCTGCCACTGATTTCAATGACTCTGGAAAACAGAGGGAGGCTGACAGCTTTGTACAACTCTGCCTCACTTAAATCCAATGTATCCACAAGTTAAGACATTACCCCATAATGTCATTGGTCTTCTTTGAAAATGAAGGACAAACTGCATGAACAGATGATATTTATAACTCATGAGACCTTTGTTAGTAGTAGGGTAGTTGGAGGGAAAAAATTATATGTATGGATAGATAGATAGATAGATAGATAGATAGATAGATAGATAGATAGAGGGCACAGGGCGAGTTGAAGATGGAGGGGTCATATCTGGGGAATAAAATTAAGGGATGAGAAGGGGCAGCTAGGTGGCACAGTGGATAGAGCACTGGCCCTGAAGTCAGGAGGACCTGAGTTCAAATCTGGCCTCAGACCAAACACTTGACACTTACTACCTAGGTGACCCTGGGCAAGTCACTTAACCCCAATTGCCTGAAAAAAAAAACATTAAGGGATGAGAGAGAATTATATTAGGAGGAGAAAGGGAGAGGAAGAACAGAGTAAATCATCTCACAAAAAACAGAAAAGAAAAGGCTCTTACAGTGGAGGGAAACAGAGGAAGGTGAGAGGGAATGAGTGAGTCTTATTCTCATAGGATTTGGTTTAAGGGGGAGAATAACATAGACACTCAATGGGGTATGGAAATCTGTCTTACCCTACAGGAAAATAGGGGGAGAAGGGGACAAGAGAGCAGGGGGATGATAGAGAGGAGGGCAGCTTAGGAAAGGTGGTAATCAGAAGCAAATACTTCTGAGGAGGGACAGGGTCAAAAGAAAGAATAGAATAAATGGGGGGGCAGGATAGGATTAGGGGAAATAGAATTAGTGTTTCACAACATGTCTACTATGGAAGTGTTTTGCATAACTGCACATGTTTAACCTATATTGAGTTGCTTGCCTTTCCAATGAGGGTGGGTGGGGAGGGAGAAAGGGAAAAAATTTGGAACCCAAAGTTTTAAAAACGCATGTTAAAAATTGTTTTCACATGCAACTGGGAAATAAATATAGGAAATGAGGTACAGAAATCTATCCTGCCCCACAGGAAAATAGAAGGGGAAGGGGATAAGAGAAGGGGGGGAGAGATAGAAGAGAGGGCAGACTAGGGGAAGGAATATTCAGAATGCATGCCATCTTGGGGTGGGGGAGATGGGGTGAAAATTTGGAACTCAAAATCTTGTGGAAATAAATGTTGAAAACTAAAAATAAATAAATTTATTAAAAAAAATATAAAGAAAAAAAGAAAAAAGAAAAAAGAAAATGAAAGACAAACAACAACATTCTCACCACACAGCATTTGTGACTCTGTTGTGTTTGATTTCTCAGTTGGGTCTCCGTTTCTGGCTCTCTAGATCCCTCTTCACCAAGCAACTTGACGTTAGCTTTATGCATTTCACCTGAATCAGTAGGTCTGGAACAAATGATTGGCAAGACCGGTCAAGGATACATATCACCTTAAGGATAGCGGAATGTGAGCTCACCGTTCTTCCTTTTCTCATAGTACACATACCCCTGTGGCATATACGTATAGGCAAGTTGTATTTCATCATCTCAGGGTAATGCTCCTGAAACGTTGTCTGGGAGCGGTGCCAGGAATGGGCTGGAGGGCTGGCACAGTGTGTACCTTTTAAGGATACCCAAACTCAGGTCTTCAGAATGTCTCCCTGGAACTAGTAGTGCCAGAAGTCAAATCTGCTAAAATAAAATTTAAAAAAAGACCCATTGAATCTATCTCTGATTGTATTTCTGGGTCAAATGCAGGAGTTTGAGATTGTAATAGGTAATCCAGACCACATGGGCTCCTTAAAGATGGTGGTGTTATGCTTCAAAACTGAGTGTGGTGGTCAGCAGCTCTTTCCAGACATTAGTTTTACTCTGTTGTGGACAAATTTTTGAGATAAATATGGGAAGTAGCAAATGGTTCTGAAAAAGGTCTGAGAAAACATTGCCCCTGGAGTGGAAATCATCATAGATTTAGAGCTGAAAGGAATATTAGAGGTTATCCATTACAACAGCCTCATTTTGCAGATGAGAAAATTGAGGTACAGTGAGGTTAAGTTACTTACCCGAGGTAACACAGGTAGTCAGTAGCAGAACCAGAATTATAACCTGGATCCTCTGATTTCAAATTCAGTCCTTTTCCCAGTGTACTATGCTGTCTAGTGATGTTAGAAGTATCTGCTTTGAAAAATCTGGAAAGACTTACATGAACTGATGCAAAGTGAAGTGAGCAGAACCAGAAGAACATTGTACAGTGATGGACTGTGAATGACTTATCTGTTCTCAGCAATACAATGAACCTAGACAATTCCAAAAGACTAATGATGAAAAATGCTAACCACCTCCAGAGAAAGGACTAATGGAGTCTGAATGGAGATTGAAGCATATTATTTTTTACTTTCTTTCTTTGTTTGGGGTTTTTTTTTTGGTTTGTGTCTTTTTTCACAACATGACTAATACAGAAATATGTTTTGCATGCTGGTACACGTATAACCTATAATAAATTTCTTACTGTCTAGGGGAAAGGAGAGAGGAGAAGAGAGAACTTGGAACTCAGAAAAAAAAATTTAAATGAATGTTAATAATTGATTTTACATGTAATTGGAAAAAATAGTATTTTTTAAAAGTATCTACTTTCACTCTAAGAAGATGTTAGGGAGATAGGAAGCTACCGTGGTGCTGGGGGTTGGGGTGGAAATTCTGCCCTGAGAGACAGAGGTCTGATAAAGGAAATCTAATGAATATGAGCCAGAAACCAGAAGTGAGCAAATTCGAATGTGGTGGAATGCTTCTGTAGTGCTAAATGCCTCCAGGCCTGCTGGCAGGTTAGCTTTGATGGAGAAAGGAGGGCTGCATAGTAGTTCAGTTTGTTGGATTTGATTGAGTAGCCAGACCCAGAATGTGGATTAATGATTAGTGTCAACCTGAAAGTAGGCCTTTAGTGGCAGCCAGAGGGATCTATCCTTGCTCCTGTCCTGTTAAATATTTTTGTTATCAATAAAGACATAAGTGGTATGCTGATCAAAATTCCTGGTGACAGAAAGTTGGCAAGGATAACTAATATTGTCAAAGACAGAATCTTCTTTTTTTTCCATTTCCACATTTTTTTATTAATTTATTTTGATTTCTCAACAATCACTTCCATATGCTTTTGAGTTGAAAATTTTTCTCCCCCTTCCTCCCCCCCACCCTCCCCAAGACAGTGCACAATCTGATATAGGCTTACATTCCCATTAAACATATTTTCACATTAGTGAAGTTGTAAATAAAAATTAAAACCAATAGGAGGAACCATCAGAAAGATGAAACAAAACTCAGCAGAAGGTAAAAATAAGCGATAGCAATTTGACTTCCATAGTTATTTCTTTGGATGTGGACAGCATTTTCCATCCCGAGGCCTCTGGAGATGTCTTAGATCCTTGTAATGCTGAGAAGGGTTCAGTTTAACAATCTTAGTCATTGCATAACGTGGCTGTTATTGTGTACAAAGTCCTCTTGGTTCTGCTCACTTCACTCAGCATCAGACCATATAAGTCTTTCCAGGTTTTTCCAAAGTCAGCCTGTTCATCATTTCTTATAGCACAATAGTATTCCATTACATTTATATGCCACAACTTGCTCAGACATTCCCCAATTGATGGGCATCCTCTCAGTTTCCAATTCTTTGCCACAAAGACAGAATCTTTAAGATTCAAAGAGATCCTGACAATAGGAAGGGAGAACTAAAGCTGATAAAAAAAAAACAGCTCAATACTATTAAATGGAAAAGGCAGCTAGATGGTACGGTGAATAGAATTTGGGCCTGGAGTCAGGAAGTGTCTTCCTGAGTTCCAGTTTGGCCCGGACATTTACTAGCTGTGTGACCTTGGGCAAGTCACTTAACCCTGTTTGTCTCAGTTTCCTCATCTATAAAATGAGCTGGAGAAGGGAATGGCAAACCCCTCCAGGATTGTTGCCAAGAAAACCTCAAATAGGTTCACAAAGAGTTGGAAAAATGACTTAATGACAATATGGGTTCAAAAAAATCAACCACTCAAGTTAAGGCTAGGAAAAATAATGTGACAGAATCTATACTTGAACCCAGTTCTTCTGATTCAAGGTGCAAATCTGTTTCATTTTTACACCACATTTCTGCAATGTAGTGCCAAAAGGGGTTTTCTGTTGAGTTGTGTCCAACCCTTCATGACCCCATTTGGGGTTTTCTCAGCAAAGATACTGGAGTGGTTTGTCATTATCCTTCTCTAGTATGTCCCCATTTTACAGATAAGGAACTGAGACAAATAGAGGTTAGGTGGCTTGCCCAAGGTCACCTAGCTAGTATGTGTCTAAGACTGGATTTGAACTCACATCTTCCTGACTCCTGGCCTGGTGCCCTATCCACTGCATCACCTTCCTGCCCGTGTTCTTAGATTACTCAAGGACATATGATTGAGAGTAGAATTCTGCTGGAAGCAATCAATCTCTTTAAAACAAATAAACAAACAAACAAAAACTTGAATCCTGCAATGGTCTTGTAATTTTTCACAGATACCACATGGCTTATGTAACTGATGGAGCATGGAGCCCACAGAGACCAGCAGTTTTCTTCACAACTAAAATGGATGGAACAGTGGATATCTGGGACTTCGTATTCAAACAAAGCGACCCTGCCCTCAGCCTGAAGGTTGTGTTCTTATCCTTACAGACTTTCTCATCCAGCTTCCTTCTTTAGATTGGGACTTCCTAAAGATGGGGATATGTGTGTATGTTTCTGTGTCAGATGAGGGCAGATTTTTTGTGTATGAATGATATGTGTGTGTGTGTGTGTGTGTGTGTGTATAAAAATGTGTAATTGTGTGGAAGAATACATGTCAACATGAAAGACTGTGCATCCGTTCATGGGGTTTTATTGCAGGGCTCTGAGAGAACGCTGGTTTTAGTTTTTGCCTTTATGCTCCTAGCACCTAACAAGGTGCCTGTCATCAGATAGGTTCTTATGAATATTAAGTTGAACTGAATCATACCAAAGACAATTGCTCCATTGGACAGACATTTATTGAGCATGTACTCAATGCTAAGCACCATAATAGGCCCTTGGGGTACAAAGATAAAAAAGAAACTAATTCCTGCCTTCAGGGAGTTTACATTCTACTGGGCATTACTATAAGCATCACCAATTCAATTCACCAAACATTTTTTAGCTTACTACACACAAGCTGGGCAGCTAGGTGACACAGTAGATAGAGTGCTAGGCTTGGAATCAGGAAGACTCATTTTCCTGAGTTCAAATCTGACCTCAGACACTTTCTAGCTGTATGACCCTAGGCAAATCACTTAACCCTGTTTGCCTCAGTTTACTCATCTATCAAATGAGCTGGAGAAGGAAACGGCACTCCGGTATCTTTGCCAAGAAAACCCCAAATGGGGTCATGAAGAGGTAGACACGATTGAACAACATGCAAGCTACTCTTTTAGGTGTTAGGAAAAGGAAAGTCAAAATAAAGAAATATTTCCTGTCCTCCAGGCATTGTCTTTCTACTGAGTGGGAATACACCAAACACTGATAGATGCTATATGATTATTTTGAGGAAGGGAGTATCAGTAGTTGGGAGGACTTGGGGAAGAGGAAAGGAAACAGAAACAGGGAAAGGCTTTTGAAGAAGGTGGCTCCCGATGTGAGTATCCAAGGAAGTTAGAGATTCCTAGATTTAGGTGTGAGGAGGGAGGGCATTCCAAGCTTAGGGATATGCACTCGTGTGTCTGAGGACAGCCTCTGCATATAGCTAGGAACTAGAACTCAAAGAACAGCTCATCTAATTTATTTGGATCACCAAGTGGATAAAATAAATGTATTTAGGTAAGGGGAGAGCCAGACTATGGAAGGGTTTAATAAGGGTTAGCATAGGAACTTTTTAACTGGGAAATGACATAGTCAGACCAAATTATCAATCAGTCAACAAGCAGTTATTAAACCCTTACTATGTGCCAAGCACTGAGCTAAGTCCTGAGGATACACATAAAGGCAAAAACATTCCTTATCCTCAGGGAGCTTGGTTACATGTGGAGACATGTAAATAAATAGGTTCAGACAAGATTGACCCAGGGTAGATGGGCAGAAGTCTGAGAGGGGAAAGTTCTGGCAGCTGGGCTGGGGGGTGGAAGGGTGGGGATGGGGGGCTCAGACAGACTTCTTAAATAAGATGGGGTTTGAGGTGAGTCATGGAGGAAGCCAGTCGGGTGAGGTGAGATGGGAGAGAATTCCAAACACAGAGAGCAGCCAGTACAAATGTGTGGCATTTGGTGATCGATGAGTATAGAGAGGGAAGTAAAGTGTAAGAAGACTTGGAAAGTCTTTATTATAATTATGTAATTATATAATTATAAATAAAAGCTTTATTATATTTAATCCTGGAGGTAATAGGGAGTCACTGCAGTGTCTTGAGTGGGAGTCAGTTTAGGAAGATCACTTTGTGTGTAGAAGATGCATTAAAACGAGGAGACACTTGAGACAGGTACTATGTGGGGGAAAGAAGGCAGCTTCTGGGAGAGATGTCATGAAAGTGAAAACAACAAGACCTGGTGACAGAGTGACTATGTGGGGTAGGAGTGAGGAGTTCAGAATGGCACTGGGGTTGAGAATCTGGATTACTTGGGAGGATGGTTGTGCCCTTGACTGTAATAGGGAAATTCAGAAGAGGAGAAGGTTGGAGGAAAAATAATGAGTCTGGTTTTAGAAATCCCCTCTGGTTCCCAAGGAACCCAAGGCCTCAAGTCCTTATGAATCCAGTGCTTTTTTTTTTAATATATATTTTTTATTAATTTATTTTGATTTATCAATAATCACTTCCATATGCTTTTGAGTTTAAAATTTTTCTCCCCCTTCCTCCCCACCACCCTCCCCAAGACAGCTCACAATCTGATATAGGCTATACATTTACATTCCTATTAAACATATTTTCACATTAGTGATGTTGTAAGTAAAAATTAAAACCAATAGGAGGAACCATCAGAAAGAGGAAACAAAACTCAACAGAAGAGAAAAAAAAAAGCAATTCAACTTCCATAGTTCTTTCTTTGGATGTGGATAGCATTTTCCATTATGAGGCCTTTGGAGATATCTTAGATCCTTGTATTGCTGGGAAGGGTTAAGTTTAGTCCAGTGCTTTAAAGGGCTAAAAACAGACTAAGAATTGTTATCATTACCATTCTTAGGGATCTGGGATTGGCCGGATTTCCCCCCACACCTTCCTAGCTTTTCTTTCTCCTTCCTTTCTCAGCAAGTACTCTTGACCCAGAACCAGAGGAAATATGGATATGAATCCTCCCTCCAACACTTACTAGCTGTGTGAACATAGTCATCATTTAATCCTTCTGAACCTCAGTTTCCTTAGCTGTAAAATGGAAATAATAAAATATATGGGGGCAAGAGGGAACAATATAGGGGGCAGCTAGGTGGCACAGTGGATAGAGCACCAGCCCTGGAGTCAGCCAAACACTTGACACTTACTAGCTGTGTGACCCTGGGCAAGTCACTTAACCCCAATCTCCTAAAAATTAAAAAAAAAATTTAAAAAAGAAGGAATAATATGGCTTAGGGGATAGAGAGACAGAATTAGGAAAGCCTGTGTTTAAATCCTTCCTCAGACACATATATTGGCTACGTGACCCCGAGCAGATCACTTAAACTTTTAGTGCTCCAGGAAAATTCTGTAAGACTATAAATTACTGGAAAAGGTCAGAGAAAAAAGGTGCTGACTTGCATAGGTGGAGGAAATTCCTAACCTGGTGTGGGGGGTTCCTAACTCCCCACACCAATAAAATTGCAAGTTAAAAAAAATAATACCCATAGAAGCTATCATGAAAGGTTGCTACAGAGTAATTCTGTTATGTATATGAAGTGTTTTGTAAATGTGGAGTGCTTTATGAAATGTCATTTTCACTGGCTGTCCCCCATCCCTGGAATGCTCTTCCTCCTCATCTGGCTACCTTGGCTTCTTCCAGTCCCAGCTAAAATCCCACCTTCCTAGCTGTGTGACCCTGGGCAAGTCACTTAACCCCAATTGCTTTAAAAAAAAAAAAAAGAAAAGAAAAAAAGAAAACATAAAATCCCACCTTCTATAGGAAGCCTTTCCCAATCCCTCTTAATTCTAGGACTTTCCCCTCTATCAGTTATTTCCTTTCTGTCCTGTCTATATAGCTTGTTTGTGCGTAGTTGTTTTCATGTTGTCTCTCCCCATTAGATTGTAAGCTCCTTGAAGACAGGAACTGTCTTTTGCCTTTCTTTGTATTGGCAGTATTTAGTACAGTGTCTGGTACACAGTAGGTGCTTAATAAGTGTTTATTGACTGACCTATAATTTTGACATGTCTCTTTGGCCTTAGGTGTGTGATGAAGCCCTGTTCAGCCTCAAGGTGCAAGATAATGGCTGTTTCCTTGCCTGCGGATCCCGGCTGGGGACAGTGACCCTGCTGGAGGTCTCTCCAGGACTGTGTACCCTCCAAAGGAACGAGAAGAATGCAGCCTCCTCAGTAAGTGCCCAAAGAGGCCTTAGGGCTGGTAGTGGTGCACTGGTTCCTGTCCTAGCCACAAGTGAAGATAGGCTGGTCAGAAAAATAGTAAATCCTTCAGTGAAAATAGAATCCATACCTGACAATGACATGTAGGTCATTGCAGTAAAAAACACAGTGTACTGGGAATCAGAAGATCCCTGTTCTGCTGCTAACTTGTTGGATTACCTTAGACAAGTTACTTTTCTCCTCTGGGCCTCAGTTTCCCCATTTGTAAACTGAGGAGATGCATTTGGACATTTAAAGCTGGAAGGGATCTTAGAAGTCATCTACTTAAATCCCCTATTTCTTTTCTTCAAATGAAGTCTTTCCTTTAGATTTTGATTATCAAGCTGGTTTCTTCTTTTGCAAGAAATTCATGATTGGAACTTACAAAAACAGAATTACATCCCATCTTCAATGTCTTTTCCCTTTAACAGGAAATTGGACTTTTTTGACTATCAACATTAAAAGTTTAAAAAAAATAAATGCTTTAAATTTGATATGCTATAAAGAAAAAAGTCATGCATAGTGACCAAAAAAATGTCCATTTATGCTTCAGGCTCTTCTCCTCAGGAACCAGCATTGTTATGCTTTTTGCTGTTATTGTTTTCCGTTTGATGAAATCTGATGAGTTCAGTGATCCTCCTTCTTTCAGGCATGATCCCCAACTCAAGGACCTTTTTTTAAAAAAATTTTTAGGCAATTGGGGTTAAGTGACTTGCCCAGGGTCACACAGCTAGAAAGTGTCAAGTGTTTGGTCTGAGGCCAGATTTGAACTCAAGTCCTCCTGACTTCGGGGTCAGTGCTCTATCCACTGTGCCACCTAACTGCCCCTCAAGGATCTTTTTCACCAGCATATGGATAAAGTCATTAAATCCTGGCACCATATTAACAATTTATCACTCTTCATCACAATGTGGATCTAGGATCTTATATACTTGCCAACAAGTTTCAGTGGCAGCATCTAAGACCTAATACCCTCATTTTTTTTTAACGGATAAGGAAAAGGAGAAATTTTATGATTTATGCCCAAGGTCACACGGGTAATATATGACAGCCAGGTTTCAAACCAGACCCTCTGACTCCAAATTTAATTTTCTATCCACTATACTGTACAGTTATCCCTTCCACATCACAGGGGTTAGGAGCACGGTGCCCCCTCGATCTGGAAAATCCATACAAAATTTTTTGGCCCTCCTTTTGTGCCAGAGAAGTCTGAATTTTTTTTCTTTCCTGGAGTGATTACAGTACCTTATTATAAAATTTGGGTTAAGTATTTTGGTCATAGGCTCTGTCTCATCTGCTGGCCTTGGTGTGTCATCTTTGGCTTCTGCGAAACTCCCCCAAAATTCCCATTTAATTTCTTATGCCAATCCATGATATATAGAAAGCTGCGATGGGAAAGGTCATGATGTGGAAGAGATAACTGTACTGCTCTCCAAGGACTAATATTCTTTGATCCTTTGTGATCACTCTAATGAGCAGGATCTCCTGGTAGCTGGGCACCTCTAAAGCCCTAGATTCCCAGGACTAGGCTCACCCTAGATCAAGGAGGTCTCCAAAGAAATCATCCTACACAAATTAAAAGCCTTTAGCCCTGAGAATCCTAACCATGCTGAGTGCATGCTTCCTCTTCCTTTTACTCACCCTGATAATTTCTTCCCATAATGTCATACCCCCTCCACCTCCCGCTATCGCTTCAATCACTCTCCACACCCCTTCTGTGGATACCCTAGATCTTTGAACGAGAAACTCGCCGAGAGAAGATCCTGGAAGCCCGGCACAGAGAGATGCGCCTGAAAGAAAAAGGCAAGACTGAGGTTAGGGAGGAAGAAGGCGAAGGAGAAGTTAAAATTAACCAGGAAGAGTTGCTGGCCTTAACTGAGAAAGAGTTCTTTGATATTATCAATTCTGAGACTAAGAGGAAAGGTGCTACTCTTAAGAAAGCTGGATCAAAGGTAAGTGCCCAAAGGGGCATTCAAAGGAACAGAAGGCAGACTTGGAAGGTCTGTTGATGTCCTGAATGACCCCTATCACTTAGCTATATAGGTCCTCAGCTTACTTATCTGGAAAATGGAATGTATCAGCTCAGTCTTTATCAATTGCAAGTCTTCCATAATGCATTCCCTACTTAAATACTTATTAAATGCTTATTGACTGACAAGAATGCACAAGATAATAGATAGGAATGGGCCCTGAGAGAAGTAATAGGAAGAATGTTAAACTAGGAGTTTTTCCTCATGGTCCAGCCCTGAAATAAATCAAGCTGGTAAGTGGAGGAATAAAGTGTCTTTAATTGAGATACCAAGGTGACCAAACCTGCCTCCTTGGGGGACATCCCACCAGGAGACTTACCGGAAAAGTTTTTATACTTTTTTAGGAGAAAAGGGGGAGGAAGTAGTATGAAGTAGCAAGGCCTGGTCATGAGATGGGAGCTGCCTTTGGCAATCTGAGCAAGGAAAACTGCTTCATTATAGCTGCTTTGCCCTTCATGCCATGAATCCCAAAGAAAGCCAGTAAGGATGTCAGAGGCTACCTTGGAAGCTGGTCTGGCTCAAGTTGGCTTTGCTAAAAGGAAAGGTCCCGGGGGGGGGGGTGCTTAGGGTGCAGCCAGCTCAACATAATCAAGAATATGTTAAGCTAGGAATGCTAGGACATCTCTGGAATCCTGACATTACTAGGATCATTACGAGGGAGGGGGCAGGTAATATTATGTTTAATATTAACAGGTTTTCTGTCATTATGTTAACAATTTTATATATAAAACATACTATATAATACCATATTAACAATATAAGAAGCCTAAACTATATATGTTCGAAGACCCCTTTCAGGTCTGACATTCTTTTATTTTTAAGAAAGTAGCCAGAGAAATTTAGGATGTGGCTATTCTTTCATGAATAATTATGACTTGATATAATGGTATCTGATTTTAAACAAATTGAATTGCCATTTACTGGCATGATTGCTAATTGTTCATATTTACGTGATGGTATTTTGTTTTCAAACTGAGGTCCTGAGGAATAATTCTGTGAAATAAAAGGAGGTATTATTATACTCAGTTCACCTGGTTGTATTGGATGGCTGTGTATAATGGAACACTGCCATTTCAAAAATAAATAAACTCACACATATACGTATACATATACATATACATATACATATACATATACATATACATATACATATACATATACATATACATATACATATACATATACATATACATATACATATACATATACATATACATATACATATACATATACATATACATATACATATACATATATAACTCAATCTCTCTATATATATCAATTATATATGTATTGATATCAATATGTATCTCTGTGTTTGTATATATATATATATAAATACATACACATATACAAACATACATATACACGCATGTTGTATATACATGGTTATATGCCATATATGTTGTTCCTATATAGTTACATGTTACCTATACATTATACATGGCTATGTGTTACATGTACTATTTACATGTGATTGCGTTCTATATGTTGTTTATATGTGGCTATATGTTGTATATGAGTTGTTTCTATATGGTTATATGTTATATGTATTGTTTCTATATTGTTATATGTTGTTTATATGTTAATATATAATATGGTGTCTGGAAGACATAGGGAGTTGCTGGAGTTTATTGAGCAGGGAAGTGACAGACCTGTGCCCTGGAAAATCACTTTGGCAGCTATGCAGAGGATGGATTGTGGAGGGGAGAGAGAGAGAACTGAAGCAGGGAGATCATTTAGGAAACTCTTTCTGTCTAGAGATGATGAGAGCCGGAACTGTATGAGGATAACTGTATGAGCAGAGGGAAGGGGACAGATGCAAGAGATGGTGAAGAAGCAGAAGAGATAACACTCAGCAACTGATTGGCTATGTGGGAAGGGAGACAGTGAGTGGTGGAAAACTTAAGGTTGCAAGCACAGGTCATCTTGGTTTTGGAGTCTGAGGACAGGGCCTTGAATCTCGCCATTGATACTTGGTATCTGTATGACTCTGGGCAAGTCACTTAACCCCATTATCTAGCCCCCCCCCAAAAAAAAATCCACAAACCTTGAAGCGCTACATAAATAAATAATTGTTATAAATAAATGTTGTTATTATTATTATTATAATTTTTAAAAGAGTACTAGCTCTTGAACCAAAAAAATCTAAGTTGGAAACCTGCTAGCTGTGTGATCTTGGGCAAGTCACCACTCTGAGACACAGTGTAATTATTTATAAAATGGGAAAATAAGATCTGCCCGCAATGGTTGTTATGAAGACTAAATAATATTTTTAAATGTTTCACAAACCTTAAAATGCTATGTAAATGTTATTATTATTATTATAAAAGAGTACTAGGTCTTGAACCTAAAAAAATCTAAGTTGGAAACCTTACTTGTGCCACTTACTAGCTACGTGACCTTGGGCAAGTCACCATTCTCAATTTCAATGTCTTTGGTCTGTAAACAGGGGATAACAGTATTCACCTCACAGATGAGATAATGTACAATGAAAGGGTTTTTCTCTTGATAGGCAGTTAATATTAACATAAGTCACTGGCCCCGTTAGAAAGCTCCCAAGAAACACACACACACTAATAAGGCACAGAGATCACATTCAAGGAAAATAAGAAATAATTAAGTATCTAGGAATTACTGAAGTGAACAAAGTGATAGACATCAGGAAGAACCTATAAACTTGTTTCTTTCTTCCCTTTCCCTTGTTGCACTAGTGGGACCAGAGAAAGAGAATGGTTTTTGATGGTAACCATCCTTCATAATTGACTGTTTGTATTCTTTCCTTTTTGTTGAGTTTTTTAGTTAACTCTAACTCTTTGTGACCCATTTGGGGTTTTCTTGGCAAAGATACTTGAGCTGTTTGCCATTTCCTTGTCTGGCCCATTTTACAGATGAGGAAACTGAGGCAAACTTACCCAGGCTCACCCAGCTAGTAAGTGTCTGAGGCTGGATTTGAGCCCATGTCCCCTTGACTCCAGGCCCTGGTGCTCTCTATCTACTGCACCACCTAGCTGCCCTCTTCTTTCCTTTTTTTTTTTTTTGTTGTCCTTCATTTTCTTTTTTTTTCTTTTCTTTTATTTTTACATATTTTATTAATTTATCTTGATTAATCAACAATCATTTCCATATGCTTTTGAGTTTAAAATTTTTCTCCCCCTTCCTCCCTACCACCCTTCCCAAGACAGCTCACAATCTGATATAGGCCATACATTTACATTCCTATTAAACATATTTTCACATTAGTGAAGTTGTAATTAAAAATTAAAACCAATACAAGGAACTATCAGAAAGAGGAAACAAAACTCAACAGAAGAGAAAAAAAAAGACAGCAACTCAACTTTCACAGTTATGATTACTATCTGTCTTTTTCTCCATCCTTTTCCCCCCTGTTTATGCTTTTCTTTCTCCTCTCTCCCTTGCCCCCTCACCAGCACTTTGCTTTTGACCACCGCCTCCTTCAGTCTCTCCTCCCTTCTATTATCCCTTCCCCCCTCTTCCCCTTCACCTCCACCACTTCTTCCCTCCCTTCCATTCCCCCTCCCTTTTCTTTCCCCTTTTCCTTCCTACTGCCTATAGGGCAAGTTAGATTTCTATACCTAACTGATTATGTTATTCCCTTCTTGAGCCAAATCTGATGAGAGCAAGATTCAAACAATGCTCACCCCCCTCCCTTCTTTCCCTCTGCTGTAATAGGATTTTCTATCTTTTCCTGTAATGTAATTTACCCCTGTCTGCCTCCTCCTTTCTCAGTACATTTTCTAAGATCAGACTAATCCACTTACTTGGATCCATTTAACCCACTTGATTAGATTTTTTTTATTTACATCAAAGTCAACTAATATCCACCCCCTTTATGTATACTCTTTAACATGGTAATAACAATACAGTTCTCAAGAGTTGCAAGTGTCATCTTCCCTTGTAGGATGTAAACAGTCCCTTATTAACAATATTTTGTATCTTTCTGTCCCATTTACCTTTTTATGTCTTTCTTGAATCTTACTTGAAGATCAAATTTTTGTTGAGCTCTGGTCTTTTTATCAGGAAGGTTTGGAAGTCTCCTATTTTGTTGAATATCCATCTCCTCCCTTGAAGAATCATGCTCATTTTTGCAGGGTAGTTGATCCTTGGCTGCAATCCAAGCTCCTTTGTCTTATGAAATATTGTGTTCCACGCCCTGTGGTCTTTTAATGTAGAAGCTGCAAGGTCCTGTGTGATCCTGACTGGGGTTCCATGATATTTAAATTGTTTCTTTCTGGCTGCTTGCAGCACCTTCTCTTCATCTGGTAATTTTGAATTTTGCTATTATTCCTTGGTGTTTCAATTTGGGATCTCTTTCAGGTGGTGAGCGGTGTATTCTTTCTATGGTTATTTTACCTTCTGGTTCTAGGACTTCAGGGCAGTTTTCCTTTATGATTTCCTGAAAGATACTGTCCAGGCTCTTTTTTTCATCATGATTTTCAGGTAGTCCAATGATTTTTAAATTGTCTCTCCTGGATCAATTTTCCAGGTCAGTTGTTTTACCGATGAGGTATTTTATGTTTTCATCTTTTTTTCATTTTTTTGTTTCTGTTTGACTGATTCTCGCTCTCTCATAGAGTCATTAGTTTCCATTTGTCCAATTCTAGTTTTTAACAGATTGTTTTCTTCTGTTAGTTTTTGTACTTCCTTCTTCAATTGGCCAATTGCATTTTTAAGGGATTTGTTTTCTTCAGTGTACTTTTTTTCCAGTTTGCCAATTGTGTTTTTTAGGGACTTGTTTTCTTCAATGTACTTTTTTTCCAATTGGCCAATTGTATTATTTAAGGATTCTTCTACCTCTGTCATTGGACTTTTAAAATCCTTCTTGAGCTGTTCTAAGAAGGCTTTTTGAGCTTCAGACCAGTTCATAGACCCTTTTGATGTTGCAGATGTGGGTTTGTTGA